TGCTAATTGGTCCTTATTATGAATGCGATTATGTGTTTGATATGTTTATTTGTATCATTTATGTGAAAATATGTGGTTTTGAATTTCTATATGTTCATCGTAGGAATATCTGTTTGATTATCTGCTTTGGAATTTAAATTGAAGGCCTTATTGGCCACAGAAACCAAAATTGATTGCGCCATTGTAATTGGCATAATTTTTAGAGCCTACGGTGAAATTTAATTAAAAATTGATTCGGATCAGATTAATTAGATTAAATTAATGCTATAGTGCCCAATTATTTAATATTTGGTAATTATAACTGAGGGAAATTATATAAGTGGGGCACTATACACCCAATTCTCCTTTTTAGCTTCATTTTGGCTGATTTTGAACTCAAGAAAAGAGAGAGGGCCGGCTAGAGAGAGAGAAGGGAAACAATTGAAGATTTGCTCAAGAAGCTTGAATAAATTGAAGACTAACTCAAGATTTGACCATAAATTGGGGAGATTGTGCTTCTAGGTGAGCAATTGATTATGAAGTTATGAGTTTAATGTTGTAATTTGTGAATTCAAAGTTGAATGATGATAAAGAATATGAATTGAGTTAGTTTTGTTGAATTTGAAGTCAATAGACACATGCATGTAGGAAATTGCTATAAATTTCCATGTTTGAGCATAAAGTGTGTAATCCATGATGAATGTGAATGAAGTCCATGTATTTGATCATCTCTTCACCAATTAAGTTGAGAATAATGAGTATCTCCTACATGCAAGTGCAAATCATGAAAGTGTGAGCTTTGAATGTTTGAATTTAGTGTGTTGGTGATGAGTTTGAGTCAATTTTGGAACATGCATGTAAGTAATTCTTTGAATTGAGCTTCATAATGTTGAAATTTGGTGTTTGTACCATGTTAGTACATGTATATGCAAAGTTTGAGCCAAAATCATGTGTTTAGAGCCTTTGAATGTCGAGTTGAAGCTCAAGAACGTGTTCTAGAAAATCCAGAAATTTTTATGTCCGCTCGAGCGGGGGATCTGCCGCTCGAGCGTAAAATACGAGCTCCCAGTATTTTCTGGAGACATGATGTCCGCTTGAGCGGGGAGCTATGTAGACTGATCTTCAGCTCGAGCGTGAAAATGTTGTATCCAGTACTTTTGCGGACCTCATGGGTCCGCTCGAGCGGGAGAGTCCACGCTCAAGCGGGGACCCCTGTTTCTGGAATTTTGAGAATACGTTCTGTGTTTCGTTTTCCGTTCCCCTTCACTTCTAAGTACTCTTAGGCATGCATTAAGTATTGTAAATGAGTTAAAAAGGGATAAGAATAAAGCCTAAAGAGGAATATGTGAATTAAGAACGGATTGAATCATTTGTGACCCATTTGTGTTATGTGATGTGTAGGGTCAAGCCCCAGGGCAAATCAACCAACCGATCACTGTGAGCAGCATCTCAATAAAGATATCTAGAATATGCTATTTGTCCAATTGCTTAGCTTCCTATTAGTCTGTTAATTTGAATTGTGGACAAATGTTTGCTATGCCTAAAGAGCGAATGGGCCAGAGGCCGTATGACATGAATGAATGGGCCAAAGGCCAGTTTGACACGAATGAGAGAATGAATGGGCCAATGGCCAGTCTGACATGAATGATAAAGTGAATGGGCCAAAGGCCAGTTTGACATGTATGACATAAATGAATGGGCCAGAGGCTGTATGACATGAATGAATAGGCCAAAGGCCAGTTTGACACGAATGGGACAATGAATGGACGAAAGGCCAGTCTAACATGAACGAGAGAATGAATGGGCCAAAGGCCAGTCTGACAGGAATGAGAGAATGAATGGGCCAAAGGCCAGTCTGACACGAATAAGAGAATGAATGGGCCAAAGGCCAGTCTGACATGAATGATAGTTTGACATGAATAAGAGAATGAATGGGCCAAAGGCCAGTCTGACATGAATAAGAGAATGAATGGGCCAAAGGCCAGTCTGACATGAATGATAAAGTGAATGGGCCAAAGGCCAATTTGACATGTATGACCTAAATGAATGGGCCAGAGGCCGTATGACATGAATGAATGGGCCAAAGGCCAGTCTGACATGAATGAGAGAATGAATGGGCCAAAGGCCAGTCTGACACGAATAAGAGAATGAATGGGCCAAAGCCCAATCTGACATGAATAGTGGTCTGATGTGAATGAATGGGCCAAAGGCCGTTGGATATGAATGAATGGGACAGAGGCCAGTTTGACATGAAAGATAGAATGAATGGGCCAAGGGCCAGTTTGACACTAATGAACACAAATGAAAGTATGGATGGGCCAAAGGCCAGTTTGACACTAATGAAAGTATGAATGGGCCAAAGGCCAGTTTGACATGAATTGATTAGGCCCGAGGCCGTTTGATATGTTTGGAACTGCAGTCACCTGCCCTATGTATACCTCTATATATATTAGATAGAATATGAATTGGGCCCATGGCCGTTTGTCGTATGTTGTTCTAATGTATGTTCTTTATTCGATATTGTTCACTGAGCTTTCGCTCACGCTTATTCATGTGTATATAGGTGAGCCAAGAGCGGTCCAAACCCAACATCAGTGAAGTCTGTGTGGAACAACCAAGGTTTTGAGGAGTCAACCCTTGCGTCTCACGCACGAGACACGTCTTCGCCCTTTTGCTATCTTGTGTCATTTTGTCATGTTGGCGAGGACTTTGGATACGTTTGTATATAGTTTTGATCGGCTGACCTAGATTTGAATGATCCTGTCTATACAGAACTTTATGCTACTATATTGTTTGATGTGAGTTATTAATATCTTTATGTATGGTTTGTTATGATGTGCCACGTAAGCACACCTCTATGGACAAAGTTTTAAATTCTGCTTCCATTTGGTCCCTTTACTCTGATGAGTTATGTCCGATTTGGTTTGAGGCCGTAGGTAATTTCAAGATTACCGGCCGGTTATGTCCTTAATCGATGAGGGCGGGTTCGGGTCATGACAAGGAGGGTCCAAATAAATGTCCTAATTTAAACTAACTATTAGAAACCAAATAAATTAATTAACACTAACTAATTATTACAACAAATTAGAATTAGGCTAACTAATTGATTACAACACGAAATTAATCAACTAAGTGAGTAGCTATTTGGAAATTGAAAGCTAATTAATTACAACACATTATGTATGAAATCTAATTTGCGCGGGAATCGAGGAATCACACTTGTAAGCAAGAATATTCTCCCATAAATGGCTCTGTGCTGCTGCCTGATCTAGTTCTATCCGTAGTCAGAAAATAATTCTATTTTTGCCTTAGTTTTTGCTTTGTTTTTCAAGAAAAATGAAACTATTTGCTCAACAAAAGGTGGCCGGCCAAACAAGGAAAGTGGTCGGCCGGATGGTAGGGTGGCCAATTGGCCACTAATTTTTGATACTGCCTTGCTGCAATAGAATGGAAACAGAACAAAAACAGAGTGTTTCGAGAGGATGTTTATCCTCTCTGCCTCTCCCTATCATGAAATAGATCAAGGGAGGAGTAGAATCGGACCACAAATCATCAATGATTGCAAGGTTATTACATGATGATCTATGGATCAATGGGACGAAAGCTCAATGAATGAAAATAGAAGACCAACAAAACCCCCTCCCTATCATGGAGTTACCTCAAAGGAAGTGACAAACATTGATTCTTGAGCCATTACTATCACTAAAGAGTATGAAATGACTTAAGACTCAATAGGTTCAATTAACGTCCAATTGAACTCAACCCAATTTTATTACTCTTGTTGCCATTTTAATCCAATTTTATTAGCCTCTTTTAATTACCTTTCCATATTCTTTAATCATCTTAGTCCAAAAATGGGAGTTATGTCTTGAAATTCTGAAACCATTATAATGGTGTGCTGTACATAATGAAGAGATCAATGACCTTCCACATCTGTTTTCAAGAGAAAGAACTGCCGAATAAGAAAAAAATCATTTGATTATTGAAGACAAATAAATGAATAAGTTAGTAGAACTAGAGGTGTGGCATCAGCCATGCTCATGCTGCTTGATTTACATTAGCTTTCTTTCATTTTCAATTCAACGATGCTCATGCTGTTGTGCATACAATGTTTAAATCAATTGAGAACCCATTTTATTAATAATATGAATAGCATTTTGTTCTATATCAAGTAAGTTTTACTTGTTTTTCTGAGCTTCTGCCTGAGCAACCTCTCGTTTTCCTTTTTCTGAAAATATGAACATTATTTGTTTGCTAATTGTGACTTGAAGGAAGAGATCATGAGGGGGAAACCGGGTTATGAGCACTTGAACGAACCACTCCACATACTTGTTGAGGCTGAATTGCCAGTTGAGATAGTTGATGCACGTTTAATGCAAGCACGTGAAATACTGGAAGATCTGCTCAAGCCCATGGTAACTTTTTCCTTTTGCCTTCCCCAATGACCCAAATTATTTTGTATTGCAATATGATATTTTCTCGGTTACAGCTATTGCCTATGTTTCCTAGGAAATACTAGAATCTTCGTCTTCATCGTTTCTTTTATGCAGGATGAAACTCAGGATTTCTACAAAAAGCAGCAGCTACGAGAGCTCGCAATGATCAATGGTACACTTCGTGATGAAGGTTCTCAAATGTCTGGTTCTGTATCCCCCTTCCACAACAACAGCCTTGGTATGAAGAGGGCCAAGACTAGGGGCTGATGGTTGATCACTTTATTAGTGAGCTTTTGGAGCTTGTGTGTTAGTCTCTGCCATTAAAACAACATGTCCCATGCTATACTTGTTGCTGGGCCTGCCAATGCCTCCAACTGCCATCGGGGCACTGGCACCGTGTTACGTGCCAGTTCTAACTTAGTTTCTATATATATATATGATATTATGAAGCATGTGTATCGTGTGTCTGGAGGGAGGCTTAGTGACAGTATACCAAGGTAAGGGACAATCCGAGTCTAAGGGTGTGCTTGTGTTTGTGTTGTTTTTAGGGCAGTTTGGTTAGAACATTGTCCCGCCAATGCTGTCTTTTCGTATTGTTTTGGATTTTATTGTAAGCTTGGGATGACAGTTTTGGTATCGGTGGAGAGTCCTGTGAGAACTAAGACATTATTATCATTTGTGTACATGAGTGAGGCAAAGTAGTGATCTACTAACCCAGTAGTACATGTCTCTGGGTTGGAGTGTTTTGTACTATTTTCAAGTGTAGTTTGTTATTTAGATACTTTGAAAGCATTATTGTTATTATTTTCCTCAGAATTATGCTTGTGATGACATTAGAGCTTGGCACTTTTCTTGTTTATGGGTTGTTGGCAGGATATAAACATGGGAACGTTGTCAGGTGGCTGAATCTGTCAGAATGTGTAGTGTAACTTTTGCTTATAGAAATAATTGAAATAAAATTTTACAAAAATAGTGATAATTATGCTAACTATTTGAAATTTGAGAAATGAGTGTGCTCAGTTTTTACTAGTTTTTAATTTTTAATTTGAGAAAAATTATACCAAACATGCTCAAACAACATAAAGGCTTGGGCTGGGTGTGATTAACCATGAGGTGACTGCAATGAGTAGAAATCTTACTACCGCCCTATCTCTTCAACAATCTAAGGGGGCATTTCTTTCATTGGATAAGATATGGGATTAAACTCTATGTCCAACTAGTCTACCATTGGTTAGAAAAGTGAAGCTCACCCTAATAGTTAAACAAAGATCATTTTTAGCTAAATAGTTCATAGACTACTTATCTCAATATTAACAATTCATCGCATTACAATCCTTTCTTATCTAATCCATCCAAACTCACGTCTCCTAAAGGCTTGGCCAGAGTGAAGAACCTCAGAGGTGACTGCAATAAGCAGAAATCTCACTTGCATGCCTAAACTAAACGATGAGCAAACACTTGAATGTGAGAAAGCAAGGTATCACCCAATGAATGGACAAGCTCGGACGGAAGGGAAGGGGGGGCCAGAACCATGCTTTCAGATACTATTCCTAAGAGCAAATCCAAGCCTAGATTACAAGTAATGATCCCCGGCTAGCCTTCCTTCCCTCCGATGGTGCCATACTGTAGCTGGAGGAAATGTGGGTTTTTTAGCCATTACTCCTCTAATTCCCTCTACCCATCCTTAATGATTTAACAGCAAGGAGCATAATAGCATTCAATTGAGCACAAAATATTTTTCAAACATCAAGTAGTTCTTTATGACACTGAAAACAAATGCAACAGGTTTATTTACATTACAAACATAGGGGGGAACCATGGAATAAGATGCTTGAAATTTGGGATTCAGGCATTGTCTTCTTGTTCATCATCCTCATTGTCATCGATTCCAACCCAACGAGTGAAAGCAAAAAGAAATTCCTTGAAGTTCACCATTCCATTTCTATCTCAGCCCATCTCCTCTGCAACAATTAGACAAGACTGAGCAACTCGAACAATATACATTAAAGAAAATGAAGAGAGGAACATGAAAGTTTGTTTAAAGAAGATGAACACCCCAATCCATATGAAAGGATTTATATGTTTTTAGATTGTTGAAACGCGTGAAATTTCATTGGTTCCTTAGTCCAAAAACTTCTAGCCAGTAGCCACTCATAAGATTAATTGATTGTTTTTTGATGAATTTACTTGAATATCATCTATACAAACAAGTGGAAGCAATAATAAGTTCCCTTACCCTTAGATCCTGTAACTCTGTCCTCCCTTCAGAAGGCCATGAAAATGGTGCCCTTCTATCTTTCACAATTGCTGGAGGCTCTGGAGGTATGTGCATAAACTGTTTGATTCGTTCCACTGAAATAACATAATTAGCTAAGCTGCTATACCATCGAATCATGAACACTTGGGTGCTTGTTAAAGCCAAAGCATAAGAAAGAGAAAGTCCAACAAGCCCTGCAAAAATAGACATGTTTTAAGAATCTAAAAGAAAATTTCTAAGCAATAAATGAATTATTCCACTGAACCATGGATATACCTGGATCAACATAACCCTTGGGAAGTAAAACCAAGCGAAAAACAGCAGTGAATAAAGTAAGATTTTGAAGTGCTTCTACTTTCAAAATTAACCACTCCATGGTTGCATTGGAGTAAAAGAAAAGTTTTGCATCATTGTCTACAAGCTTTAGGTAGCTTTGGAAGAACCTGTTTGCCATGTTAAATGCTCTTATAGTTACCACTCCAAGTGAGGTCTCGGCTGCATAATTCATGACAGGTGCTTTTGTTGTTCCATTGATTCTCATTAGTTCCCTTGCAGAGGCTTGATAATATCCCTTGAGTCAATAAAGAATTTTCTTAATTAAAATTTTCCTTTCATCGATGAAAATAAGAAAAATATTACTATTAAGTTGGAAAATGAAACTCACCTGAACATATTTTGAAGCCACTATAGCAAATAATGCTACAAAGAGAACTTGCCATGTGACTGACGCCATAATGCCAATGATTGTTACCGATTCAATTAAAGGAGCAACCACAAAGGAAAATGAGAAAGGTATGTCGAAATCCACCACACATAAATCTGATGAAACCTACATATAACAAGCAGGTATATAAAAGTGCATATCAGTAACTAGCTAAGAAATACATTACACTTCACTACGATACATAAATACTATGGTTACTTTAGAATTGATTGAAGAAGAATAAAGTCTTACACGGGTCAAAATTCGTTCAACTGGGGTGGAATCAAAGAAGAGCATAGGAGCATTGAAAATAGAATTAGTGAAATCTGAAAAGAAAGCCTTGGAAGCTTTTAATCCTAGAAGAGCAACGGATAAAGACCTTAGATATACAAAGAAGGTACTTGTTTTCGAAATTATAGTGTATACTCCAATTAAGATGCCACTACTAATTTTAGGAATTTGAATGCTGAAAGCTAGTCAATAACTTGAAACAGCTTCAAGAGCAACAAAACCAATCTGAGTAATTATAACTAAAGAAAGCATCAACAATCCCTTTGAGACGAGGATGTAATCCAAAAATGGCTTCCATCCAACATTGCCAATTTCCTTCTCTTCTTCTTCTGTCAGTTGTATTCCTAGCAGACCTTTGATAGAAATATCCCCCTCACTATTTGCTTTAGTAAGGTAGGACCCTCTAGTCTCTTCCATTCTATCCATGTATTGTGATTGAATTTCACTTTTATTTTGATTAATTGTATGATCCAAGACTGGAATTGAAATTTTGTGAGCATTCACAAGCTGTTCAAATGTTGTACCGATCATCAACAGTTCTTTATAGCTTCCGGATTGAGTAATTTCTCCACCTTCTATAACCTATGGAAAAAAACAATTTATTCTATGCAATGAATTGAAAGCTAGTATGTAAATACAAGAGTGGCAATTCAAAGTATTTCATTACCAGAATTTTGTTAACATGGGAGAGAAATTCCACTTGATGAGTCACTAAAATGATAGTCTTCTTCTCCAGGGTAGTCATAACACAGTCCTGCAGCTACATCATTCAAAAGTTGGTAACAATGAGAGATCAACTATGCCATACATACCACATGCCTCAAAAGAGATCAACTTTGTCTCTGTTATATTATCTTTGGGTGCATCACCCGTGCTCAATGCACCTCCCATCGTCAATTACCAAAATAAAATGAGACATGAGATAATACCTGAGGTGTATCTGCCCAATTACATAAGTTGTTAGAAATAAGTATATATAAAAACAATAGCATAGAGCAGATAATGAAGCCTGAGAAGTATTTGGAGATTCTGAGAGACACTCCAGGCAAGAAGTATTTGGAGGTTCTGAGAGACAGTTTTCGAACTGATCAGCTGAAAAGACACATCCTGAATCTGACCAATAAAGAATCTTTGCTTCTTATAATTTGTAATTTGTAAAGGGTACCAGACCAATAAAGAATTGACTCAAAAAGGAAAAGAAAACACAAATAAGTAGAAATCCCCTTTACATCCTATGTCCTAATTATCAGTCTATGTAGAGGAAAGAGGAAGGCAAATAGAAGTTACTCCACAAGACTACCTCCCTACTCTAGAAAGGTAGAACATAGAAAACGAAACTGACTTTAAATTTATATATGATAAGCCAATCAACACGTGTTTATTTAGAATATACACAAAATAGGTTGTTGTTCTGGTATCATGTAGTTGAATAACAAGTACTGTGATATAATATCTAGGAACACATACATTTAACAAATTAGTTAATGAGAGTTCACATATATAATATTATGAGCAACACATAACTAAACAAACAATGGCCCTACCTTCTTCGGAAAGCTCAAAAGATCCGCATATCGAGTCAGTGCCGTTCTTATGGTACATGCAGGGAAAGGAGGCAGCAATGAGCTACCACCAAGTGGAGTGCCATCCTCTTTATCGGTGTGAATGGAGAAATTTGTATCTGGTGATAAATCCATTAACCTTTCAGCTTCCTCCACAATGTCAATCACATTCTCACTGTACACGCCAACATGGTCCCCAGTTTCATATCTGTGGACAAAGGAAGTGAAGAAAGATAAATGAACAAAGTTGATTCATCATTAAATGCGTGCTTTTTCTAATCCAATTTGTTTTAAATTTAAAGAGCAGACATTTTCCATGTAAAGCTAAAGCAAAATCCAGTTGACAATTTGCTTACCAAAAATAAATAATAGTAGTAAGTCGACAGAATTTGTCATCACCTTATTCCAAATATACATCCATAATTAAGTGAATTAGAATTGCAACTTACGCAAGTCCAGTTCCAGCAATGTCAAATTCCAGATGGCTGCAAGATCGATCAGAGGCAGCAGTATGAAGCTCCTTTTTCACAGCTACATTAGACCTTAATTCCAAGATAGAATATTTGTTAGGTTACAGAAACAAAAGCATATAATTAACTGGCAACAGAAAAATTCAGGATTTTTAAACATTCTTTGGGTACCTGCATGGATGTTGTGCATCATGAACAGCATGACCATTTGACATACTCATGCTCTTGTCCAATATTGATGCATATGTGTCGTCATGATATACCACACGATATTCCAACACAGCAGCAGTGTAAGGAGTTGCAACAGTTGAACTGTCATCATCCTTAAGCAACTGATCTAACTCGGGCCAAAGTAATTCCCACCTACATTAGCAGCAGTAACTAAGCTTTTATTTCTACATATCTTAAAGAAGTTGCAAAAATATATATGCTATGAGTTCCAGGTAATGATTCATGTTCTTAATACCATGCAGCAAAGTCATCTTCCATGCATTGATCATCATCTCCAAGACCCACTGGAACAAGACGCTTTCCACCTGCAAATGATAAGCATAATCATGAGCAAAACAAAAATAAACACTAATTCAAGGTAACAAGAGCACGATTGGAAGAGACAATGACACTTTACCCATCACCTAAAGGAATATAATTTCTCCATTAATATTTCAATAAGTCATCTTTTCACACTTTGTTTATTTGCAAATGTAAAGCCCACTTCAATAGAGTTATATGGCATGGTACTCAATTCTCTTGGCAATCACAACAATGGGATGGGTGTAAATTGGAGTATGTCCTAGAGTGAAGTCACTTACACAAACCTCCACACAACCAAACAAGACCTACATTTTTTTCACTTGCAACAAATTGTTTATTTCTGTACTGTCTTAGCTATGCAAATAGTACAGTAAACATGTATATTTGCCTATGGTAACAGAAATTACAAGAAACTAGGACTAAAATATTATTACAACGCATGTTTCAAACAGAAGGCAATAGCATGCATGGTTAGGACTAAATACAATGGTAACATTCAACAATTTATAGAGATATAAGACACCACAATTTATCAAAAAAAATTAACGGTAATCAACAGAGGCAGATAAGTACTGCTATAACTTTTCCCATGTCCAATCCACAGTTTAGCATGCACTATTATGAGCAGTAGATTCAAGGAGGGGAAGGAAGGTTTTAAGTCATCAAGAAGAAGTGCATACTCTGAAATTGCTTCATAACCATCATCTGCAGTGGAGATTTGCAAATGCAAAGGCAGAGGCCTCCATTCATGCCCAGAGATGGGAAACTGAGGTTTGTTGGCTTGTTGCATCCCTATTTATTCATGGATTTTGTTTAAAGAAGGCACTCCTTGAGAACCTCAAAGTGCTAGTACATATTACTCATTAACCAATGACCTCTTAGTGGCGGCTGTAAATTATATTTACACTCCCTCATTCATTTCAGGATAGAACAGAAAAGGTTAGATTAGTTTAGTTTTGGCTGATTATTTGGTTATCTGGATTATGAATTAGCACCCAATACATGAAAGTTTCACTAGTTTTGTTCAACATCTTTGCGTCATATCACATGTGCTGTATAATAGTTCACTTCACTGATAACGAAACTATTATGCTTTTTGTTTCAATTGTGGAAACATGTCATTTAACCCTCACCCCCTTATTTTTCTTGTTTCATTAATCAAGCTAGTTTATTTCTATCCTACAGAGAAAACTTTATTCTCTTGGAGTTGAGATATCATGTCCACGCGATACTGTGAAAAGGAATCGCATTGAACTTGGATTGTTGAAACGAACAAAAACTCTATCCACAATTATTGAAGCCCATGTAAGCATACATTAATATCTTGGATAAATGCTATTATTTATTCGATTGATGAGGACATATCCTATGTTATCATTTTTGTGTTTAATTGCTAGTTAGTTCCCTGTCATCCAAACATCTCTCAAATGTGACTCTACTGGCATAGACATGTCTTGATACCAAAATTTTAGTCATGACGATAACTGAAGAAATTATTCTTAGACATATTTTTAACGAACTCTGGACCTGTGTAGCACTATAAACTTTTTTTCTTCAGCCTTCAGTTTACCATCTTCTGAAATGATTTTCAAGACAAAGACAAAAATCTTTTAAAATTATTTTACATTGCATTAATTCTAAATTGGCTATTTAACAAAAGATACAAAACTAGGCAACCTGTAGCAAAACCTCGAGCAAACTATAAAGTTAAGGAGAAAGAGGAGACCAAAGTCCACTAAAAGTTGACAAATCAAAAAGGATGTTGCCCATATATACAGAAAAAATTAGATTAGTTTAGCCTGTATTGTTATGTACTCCCCAAAATGTAATTACTGAAGTACATATGTAATAGAAACAAAGAAACAATACAAACACAAGCAAATAAAAACAAACACAAGCAAGCAAGATAAATAATAGCACTATTATGATGCTACTAAGAGAACGGGAAGGGGGAACCTGGTTCTAGATCAACATTTTATTATGTAATTCCTTTTCAATCAATAAATCAATGACAAACCTGTTCCAGCCAAACCCAGCTTTGGCT